TAAATGGGTAAAGAAGGACAAGTGACGATTCACATAATTATGCCAGAACGTAATGAAACATAAGATACAGTGCCTAGCAAAAACATTGTGAGGATGTTAGACATTAGTTACACTGTAAGTGAATTGAAGAACAAGGTAAAGTGGTACTTCCACACATCAAGATTTCTATACCAAGAGGAAAACGAGAACATCCAACTTACGGCATTATCTGGGCAAATGGTAACGTGGATTAAACGTCACGTCTTAAAATAATAGAATCACAACCAACATGATTCTCCTTTAAAATTCGATCCTGCGACGCCCCATTGAGACGTTTCTAGCCGGTGAGTCCCACATAACCGCATGTACGTATTGAAGTGGTATTCGTAAATGCATTTCCCAGCATTAAAAAAGGTTAGTAAGTATATAATCTAATAATATAATAAAATAATTTGAATATATCTGGTAAGTATGTAGATACGTGAAGGTAGGCTATAAAGGCTTTATCTTCTGCTTTATTCTTCGAATACTATTCTTTGTAGATATATTAATAAAATAAAATAAAAAAGCCTTTTATTTCCTGCTTACAATCTTATAGGTTAATTTTAGGTAGTACATATATATATATATATATATATATATATTTATAATTGCAGGAACCCCTCTCAGGTGAAGGCCTCTTCCAAAGCTTGCCATTTCTCTCTATCCTGAGCTATAAGGTGCCATTTACTTCCGGCTATTTTCTTTATGTCGTCTTCCCAGCGGGTATAAGGCCTTCCCCTATAGCGTTTACCGGTTGGGCCCTTCCATATCGTAACCGTTTTGGTCCATCGCTGGTCTTTTAATCGTATCACATGCCCAGCCCATTTCTATTTCAGTCTTTGAGCGTGACTTAAAGCATCTATTGTCTTTAAGCTCGCTCTTATCTTGGTGTGTCTTATTTTTTGTAGTTTTTTCCATTCATTATGCTACGCTCGATACCCCTCTGGCAGGTAATTATTCTATTCCGGGTTTTGTTTGTAAATTTGCATGTTTGACATGCATATGTCAAACATGGGATAAGACATGAGTCCATAACCTTCTTCTTCAATGTTAAGGGCATGTTACTTTTAAATACTTCTTTATAACTCCAGTACTTATTTCAAGTACGTTTAATTCTTCTTTCCACCTCTAGTTCGTTGTTATTTCTGTTAAATCCAACTTGTTTGCCGAGATAAATGTATTCATCTATGTATTCTAAAGGTTCATCGTCTATTGTAATGGTTGATTTTGTGTGATTTGTCATAATTTTTGTTTTACTTAAATTTATTTGTAGGCCTACTTCTCTGCTAGCCATATGTAGAGTCTCGATCATATATTGTAATTGAGTGGTAGTTTCTGAAAATAATATTAGATCGTCCGCAAATCTTAGGTGGCTTAAGTATTTACCATTTATAAACAAGCCTTGATTTTTCCAATTAAGTTTCCTTATAACTGATTCTATTATCGCTATGAAAATTCTAGGAGATAGAGGGTCTTCTTGTCTTACTCCTCTTTCTACCGTAAAGCTTGGGCCAGTACTTTCTAACTTCACTCTGCTAGAGCTATTGCTATAAATATTTTTTTAAATGTCTATGTATTTTTTCTCTACATTTTGAGCTTGCAAAGTCACCCATATGTTCTCGTGTAGGACAGTATCGAAGGCTTTTTGGTAATCAATGAATGCGATGTGCAGTGGTCTTTGTTGTTTTGTTGTTGTGGTATTTCTCTATTATCATCTCTACGGTGTGTATATGGTCTATTGTTGAGTATCCTTTTCCGAAACCGGCTTGTTCAATGGGTTGGTTTTGCTCTAGCGATACACTTATTCTTTTGTTTGTTATTGTAGAAAAGAGTTTATATAAGGTTGGCAGTAAGCTAATAGGTCTGTAGTTACCGATATCTTTTGGATTTCCTTTCTTGTAGATCAGGATAATAATAGATTCTGACCATTGCGATGGTGTTTCAGAGGTTTTTATTATCGCATTGAAAAGATTTATTAATGGTGTGATCAGTATGTCGTGTGCTACCTTTATGGCATCGTTAGTAATATTGTCAGAACCAGGACTTTTATCGCGTTTTAATTTTTGTATCGCCTCCATAACTTCTTTGCAATATATTGGCTCTATACGTTTTTCCGGTAATTCTGGCTCTACCGATTTGCCCTGACTTAAATTTGCACTAGTATTTGTGTAGAATATTTCCTCGCGATTGTACGTGGTTTCTCCTTGTTTGTTAAGACCTTCAATCCACGTTTTATTTGTTTTTAATGCTCTATACCCTTTTTTCAAGCTTCCTTTTTGTTCTAGATGTGTCATAATGGTTTTCAATCTATGATTGTTGTAATATATTATTATATTTTTACTAGTGAGCTTATAAAGCGCTTTAAGCTTATTTTTAATGGATCTAGATTTATTTTTTATTCCTTGTATTTCTTGTTTTCTTTTTATAATGTTTTTTGTGTAATCTGATAGGATGCTGTGGTTTTTCATTGAATTTACTGACTTTTTTTCACACTGTAGACTATTTTTAATATAATTTGTTAGTTTGTCATAGTAACCTTGTACTGACTCGGTCGGATTTATATTTTGTAGAGTCGCAATATGATTCTTTAATTTCTCTTTGAATATTGATATTTCTTCCTCGCTCTTGAGCGTACTATGCTGGTCGTTTTTGTATTTGGCTCTACTTTTGATTGGTTTTGTTAGTGATATTACAGCTCTGAGTGCTCTATGGCCCGAAGGGTAATTTACATTTAGTGTTTCAATATTTTGAAATATTTGTGGTCTGTTAGACATTATGAAATCTATCTCATTTTTGTACTGCCCATTGGGTGAACGCCACGTTCATCTTTTCTTTGGTTTTTTCTTATAAAACGTGTTAATAATTGCTAAATTATTTTCCAAAGAAAAGTCTAATAGTCTTTGTCCTCTCGCGTTTCTGTCTCCGAATCCATATTGTTTCATTACTAGTCGTCTTTCTAGTAGTTTTAGTCTTTTCGTCGTTACGACGCTCACCTATTTTGGCATTAAAATCCCCCATCAGAATGAAATCTTTATGTGATATTTCCATTGCTTTATAGATGTTTTCGTAAAAGATATCTATTTCCTCCTCTTCTGCGGCTTCTGTAGGGGCATAGACTTATATAATAGTTAGTTTCTTTTCTGATATGTTAACATTTAATATCGCTACTCTTTCTGAGATGCCGATATAACTTTCTACGTTTTGTTTCAGGTGTTTATTTATTATAAAACCCACACCATGTTTGCTCAGTGTTTGCCCTGTATGGCAGAGAATAAATTTATCATATTCTGATATTACGTTACCAAGGCATCGTACTTCTGATAAGCCAATGATATCGTATTTTATGTAGATATATTACGAGTATGTAAATAAGCAAGCTAGGTTCCAGAGATTGGGAAGGTAGCAGACGAAAGTATTTAGGGGAGGACGTAGGTAGTAGGTACTCGTAAGCTATGATAATGTAGGTTATTAAGCTTATTGTAACTACGCTTATTGATAACATAGCTAAGGTTTAGAATACCCATGGCTTATTTGATAGGTACCTCTGCCTTAGGTCTACGATATGTCAGGTAAAATTAGTATAGATAGGCTGAACTACTAGATTACTTATTACTGCCTACTTTATTATTTTATATTATGCTCTGACTTAATTCTGGATGTGATGAAACAAAAATACTTAGGTTTTTTCACTATTTATTAAAAAAAAACAGTTTTGTCAAAATAGTTTTCACTATGTTAGATACATAGTAACAAAAATAAACTTAATGAAATAACATAAGGTATCATTATTATAAAAATGTTATAAAAGATACTTCCAAGTCACTGCACGCGGCCGACTGATTTTGGAATAAGCGACTCGCTTAATAGGTACTTGAGTACTACAAAGTCATTAATATTGGCGTAAGCACTAATTAACAAATAATCATTGTAAAGTAATACGGCGTACGCGACAACGTAGTATTAAAATAGTAAATGGTAAATGGATATACCCGACACCTTAATATAAAATTTCATATTAGTAATTACGTATAAGCGACAACTATATTGTAAACTTGTAAATGGTAGTAAGGTATAACCGACAGTTTAATATCAAATAAGATTTAGTAATTGCGTATAAGCGACAACTGTATTTTAAACTTGAAAATGGTAGTAAGGCTTAACCGACGCTTAATGTTTTTGACGAAAAAGGTAAAGAGGCATTACTTCCAACTTTCAAAACCGGTGCTAATTGTAAAGAGTCTTAAGCGCCCGGAATCTCTATGCTAGTAAGAAGTAAAAATACCTTACCGACTATAAACCAAAATTGATACCATTTTTACAGGGGTACAAGTGCCTTTAGGGTAAATAAGGCCTAAAACTCGGTCGGTTCGACCAAAATGACACTTCGAAAACGCAGTTTTTTGCTTGGGCATAAGTGACGAAAAAGCCATCGTAGAGACATGGGAGTAAGCGCATTCGAAAAAGCTAAAAATTTTAAGTAGGATGGCATTCATAACTCATTTGCGACCAAAATGTCGCTTATTACCTATTACCTTTTAACCGTCGATATATATCAGCTATGGCCTGATCCCTCTCATATTGAAGGGAGGCCCGTGCCTAGCAGTGGTACGTTAAAAAGGGCTGAATACATATTACATACATACATTCAAAGCAAATATAAATATGACTTAAAAAAGCTAATAGTTAAATATGATAGAAAGTTTTAATGTACTAACAATATGCCTATAAAAAGTCTACTTTAATTGCTACTTTCCGGTGGCTGGTGGAAAATGGTAAACTAGATAACGACTGTTCATAGCCATTAGTGATGATTGCAAACTAATTTACTAATTACGCTCCAGGAACGGCTGACCTCTTGTCGGAGATAACGTGAATAAATAAGATGACTTCTTAAGAGAGCAGATAAAGTGTTACACTATAATAAAAGTTTTAGTGTCAGATCCAGACCCAAGTGGTAAGGTCGTGTCTAAAATATCAAGATGAATAAGTTACTTGTAGTACTTTTGGCAGTCTGCCTTGTCAGTGTGAGTAGAGAAAAGCTTTTGTTTTAAAATATTTACAACGTAAATTTCTCAAAAGTTTACTGATTCCTTGTTTGCCATCGAAATTACATTCATAATATCATTTAAAATGGAGATATAAACTTCAAAAGTTATACTTTTTTATTATATTATTAGAAATTTAACATTGCTTCATTTGGATGCGTGCCTATGAAGTGTCTTTTGTGTTTATAATATACAGAAAGCGCCGCCTTTTTTCAAGTAATAGTAATAGTCGTATTATTTCAGGTCATAGTCATGTGTGTACTAAATTTTATTCAAATCTGCTTAACCGTTTCAGCGTGAAGGAGGAACAAACATACATAAATAAATATAAATATGTTGGGACAAACAACTTAACTGTCCACAAGTTAGACACAATAGTTAAACAATCGAAATATTCATATATGACTCATGGGACAGGGAAATGGTTAACACACCCATAACTGGAGTATAAGCATTCGTGCTCATCGCTCAAATGAATTTCGAATCTATAATAATTTTTCGTAATAATAGTATTGTGATTGCGGTTTTAGGTTCACGCTTTTGTAAAACGTGACGCTGAAACACCCCAAAATGAAAACTATGTAGAAAAATACAGAAAGGACCTCGAGGATATTTCCAAGAATATTGGTACTAAAATACAAGATGCTTTTAACCCTGAACAAATCAAAAAAGGATTGAACGATCTCATCGACGGTATTAATAAAGCGGTAAGTTTTCTAAACTGTACGACTTATTTATATAACACTTATTTTTACTATTCAATCTATACAAACATATAATAAAATTGTAACCAAACCCAATCTTTACATTAAATATTTTTTGGAAAATCTAATTGAAATAGATATTATTAACGATAACAGAGGTCGAATCTGTAGTTTTTAAAATTTTTGTCTGTCTGTCTGTCTAGGAACGCATCATGAGAAAATCACTGGACAAATTTTGATGAACTTTGGTATTATGATAGCTGTTTATCCAGGTCAACATGTAGGATACTTTTTACGGCTGGAGAATATCTCATCTCTGAGCTAAACGTTAAAACGTAATGAAAATTACAGTATGATTTAGAAAATGTGTGTTCTTAAAATCTACAGTAAAAGGGTACTAAACAATAAAAAAAATTACAAATGGATAGTAGTTAATATCAGTAAAAGTGTTTTCTACTAGTTGGTATTTAAAAAATTCTTTTTTAAAACTAGATCTTGAATATATCTGTATAAAATGTTCTATAAAAAAAGAAAATTAATTTACATCATAGTTTTGTTCTTTTACATTCTTTAGGTTCAGTTTAATACAAGATTACATAATTTGTATATTAATACTATTAACTCTTAAAAATTTAACTTCTTCTCCCTGCCCATTTCCCAATCACTTGGGGTCGGCGCAGTACATCTTCTGTACTGCTGAAAGGATTTGGCAAAAGTTTTACGACCGGCCGCCTGCCTGACGTCAACCCTCCTTGGGAATGCTATTGTCTCTCTTTGTCTGAATGGTGTCGCGGAAGTCTTGTAATTATTATGCACTTTCGATTTTGTTGTCTTTTAAAACATTTTTTATACTATTACTTAAATTTTTAATGTTATTTTCGGATATATTTAAAATTAATTTTGATTACACCATAAATTTTGTTTTGACGTTGTCAATTTTTTTCTTTTTAAAAAAAATAATAATTAAACATTAACCCCATTACTATACATTTTTTTACTGGGTTAGACGAGGATTTACTAAAAACTTCCGATTTCATTGTAGCTTTCTTCGCTTTTAGCTTGTAGATGTAGATGATGAACTGCTATTATTATAAATGGGGATCCAAAGCGTCTTATTAACCAAGTTATGAAAATAATATTATAGGAAAGCTATAGAGCTATGCTCTATAATAATGCTTATAGAAGCATATTTACTTCAGTTAATTTGGTGACTTAATATTTTAGGTTTCTATTAAATAAAAAGCTGTTTTAGCTTTTACATTGTTTAAAATTTGTTTGTAAATTTTTTTTCAGTTTAATGAAATTAAGCCCAAAGAAGAGGTCAAGCAGTAAAGAAGATTATAAGAACTCATAATTAGATTATAATAAATGATTATATTATTATATGATTATACATTAATATTTTTACCCATCGTTTATATGATCTACATAACATAGCGTCAATAATATATTTATAAAATTTAAACGATGTTTTATTGATTTTTAATTAGTTTTGTCTGCCTATATACTTTGTTAGGAAATATATAAAATTATATTATATTATTCTGAATACATATAATAATCCTATATTATTATTTATATTAATATAATTAATATCTTAGATGTTCTGTTTATTATAAACTAGCGACTCACGCTCGCTTCGCTCGGGTTCGTGCCTAGGTAGGCAATGTAAGTTCACAACACAAATCTTTAAATTTATCGACTTTTTTATTCTTTAATATACATATATTATACATAAAAACCTTCCTTTTGAATCTATCTATTGCTGCAAACTGAATTAAAATCTCTTGTATAGTTTAAAAGATCTAAGCGCACAAAGAGCGGGAGCGACATTGTTTTATACTATGTATAGATAATACTATTGATCTTAGTAGTCACTTCATAAACAGATCGTTTAATATTTTATTATTGTGCTGATAAAGTATCAAAGGTCAAATGCAGTAATTATAATATGGATGTACATATGTTTGTTTAGGTAGTAATAACGATTTCAAGTATCGTATGAACTTTCACCTCGTTGATCTTGTCATTGATATTTTATTATGGTAGTGGTACTTATCTTTTAGCAAACTGTAAGGAATATTCCGATTTTTGTAGACGAAGAGGTAGGCATCCTCATAAAAATGCTTTTCATCCCAAAGAAGGGTTACTCGTGTGGAGGCACAGCTGGTTTTATCGGTTTTTATCCGAAAGTCCGATTCGGGGTAGCCGTTGGTGCATAGTGGTTGTGAAGCTGATAAAATGAAAGATATCCCGTGCTTTCTTCTTAAATTGGGACAAGTTTCATTAAGTTTTAGTTTTTTTAGTGAGTCACCATATATGTAATCACGTAAATAAATCTCCAACTATAAAAAAAAAATTAACGCAGACTTGCATGATTTTTTCTTAAAATCTAATTAGAACTTATTAAAGCTTATTAGCAATTTAAATTTACTCATAAAATGTAAACCCTTTTCAAAAAAAGTAGTAGTAGTAGTGCTGAACATATCCATAAGCTTTTGACAACCTATGCTAATGTTTACAGCCTTAGAGGCTTTTTATACTAAAGTCTGTAATGTAAACGTTTACTCTCTTTCGAATTGACGAAATTGTCACAATATACCTAATAGTAACCTAATTTCAAATTTAATTTTGTTTTAGTATACTAAGTTACAATATTTCTTTTATTATTTTTCCATTATTTCTTCTAGATATTAAAATTTTAATAGAACAGACAAATCGAAATTGAAAATAGGCTCAAGTTGTAAATAATAAACCTATTTGGACTATAAATTATCATTTATCACTGTCAAAAAGACATTCACCAAGCATAAAGTACCAACAACATTACGACTATCAATCTTATAAAGGCATATTTTGATGTCAATGAACTTAATATTGAAAATGACATAAATTGTGTTCTAATGTATAAATAATAAAACAGCATACACTTTACGATTAAGGTCGAGATAACAATAGCAGACATGTTTTTGATGCTTCTTGCCGTTGGACATAACTTATTGTTAGAATATACCATTATTTATGAGAGAAAACTAACTAAATATGTAAGTTGTTCTAAGGGTATAAAACTAAATGCTATTACTTCCACTAGTTTTTTATCTATCTGGATTATAAAGTAAAATATAAACAACGAGTATATTGTAAATACTACAATACAATACACATTATACATATTACTTATTCTTCTCTTTTTATCTTGCCCAGGCTACTGTACAGTTGACAATTGTTTTGGCACAATTTGATCTTTGCTTAATCTATTACCAATATCTCTAACGTAGAGGTCATGGGTTCTATTTGTAAAGATTACCCTTTTTTTAAAGTTATAAAATAAATTAAGTGAATGGGGTCACCCCATGCTGCCAAAGCATCAGCTTTATAAGGTTTTGTCTATCTAACCCACGAGGAAAAGAACGTAAAGGTTGGTAGTGTAATCAGAACGCAGATTTAAATAACCTAAGAATATATAGATATGTATGTTTAGCTAATACGAAGATCCTTGCCGATCGAGCTTCGCTCGGCTTATTTTTTGGAAATGGTGTCTTTTCGGAAAGGTTGTGTTTTTCAGATACGACAAAGCAAAACCTTATCTAAATACAAAATTTAATCCAAATCGTGACATCCGTTTCCGAGATATACCAAAGAATTGCTCATTTAATATCGTAAGATAATATAATCAAAAATCAAAAGGGCAAGGGCAGAATAAGAAGAAGGACTGAAGGGCAAGGAATAAGACGGCCTTTGAAGAATATATAGATTTTATAATTTTTATAAAATCTATATCTAAAGAAGGGCAGGTAAAACTCTGATAATTTGCCGACAAGCGTGAAAGCACGCTATTTTCTCTGTCTCAATCAGGATATATGGTAAGGGTATATATATATATATATATATATATATATATATATATATTATATATATATATATATATAAACAAATGAATACCTGAAGTAGAGAGCCGTCAATCGAAAATAACAACATTACGTATTCGCTGTATTCGCAAAACGCTTTGAATAATGTTCATAATAATTATCAAACAATAATTAAAAATATATCTATAAAATATTCCATTTCATTTGGAAACCAATAACCGTAATTACAAAAAATGAGAAAAAGGAAGTATTTCAAAGAAAACTTGCAAGTGAAGCGGAATAATTTCTAAGTGGTGGAATTAATATCCTCTTTCATTTTACTGTACTTTATAATATATGGTATAATGAAAACGATCCAGTGTTTGATCAATGTTTATTCTCTGATTAAAGTATTACTTTGAAGAAAAAATACAGGATATCAAGTTACTTATGACTAATGAAATATTTTTAATTACAGATGAATTAGAAATTCTTTAAATTACCAAAATTGAGACAATTTTTCATAACTTGCGGTCTACACAGATACCACTTTATCTTGCATGATAAAAGGCACTTGCCACCCATATTTTGTCCTCCAAAGACACAATTATTTATAATTTTATCGTACTCATAAAAGTTTCTTTACTAGTTTTATAGAATCTGGTTTCCCTTTTATGGATCGACAGTTACAAAGAGGTAAACTTTGTTTATGAGTTCTAGGATTGAAAGTTGTAGTATGTCTTTTCAACTATAGTTATTTTATTGGTTTTGGTTCCCAAAAGTCACGATGGCGGTTCACGTACAAATACAATACAGGCACAGTTTTGGCTTAACTCAGTCGCTGAGGTATTTTCTTCTACTAGTACTACTTCATTTACATCAGCAATAATATGTAGTAATTCCTGGAACGAATAAGCTGATTCTTAATTTTATTTCTCTAGTATAATGTATATACTATACTAAATATATATAATCGATTTACATCACAGGAACCCTGCGAAATCACTTTTATGAATAAATATTCCCAAAATAAAAAAAAAACGTCAATATATAATAAATAAAGCACCTTATTGATTGAGAAGGTTTTTGTCATTTTGCATTCAAGTTAGATTTTTTTATTGTATTAGCCGTTGAAGCGCAGAATCATTAACAATTGAACGTAATTACTAGGAAATAAGTTGTGAGGCAAATCTAACACGAAGATATTAATTAGTTTTTATACCGGAAATCAATATCTTAAGCAAAAAGTATTGTACCAATTTATCTACTATTTATATAATAATGTTCTATTTGAATAAAAAGTGCTACAAACAAATATTTTTTGTCTCTAAATAATGAATGAATGACGACACGTTTGGCTCAGTGTTTAGTGACCCTACTTGCTGTGCTAGAGGTCGCGGGTTCGAGTCCCGCTGAGGGCATTCATTTGTGTGATGAGCATGAATGTTTGTACTCAGTCATGGGTGTATATATTTATAATATATAAGTATTTAAAAGTTATATATGTGTAGTGTATCAACTATCTGGTAACCATAACACAGTGCTGTGTGTTAATGTCCTAACATATTTATTATTTATTTATTTATTATATTTTTTAGTATATTAATTATACATTTTAATTTTAATCTTACTTTTTAACCAAATAATTTCTTTGAGATATGAATAGAAATAATTCATATATTACTATTTTCCCTCGTCTAATAAAGAAGGTACACAAATATAAAGATAACCTATATTTCCTGGCAATTCCAATGCATTGCAGTGACGGTCTTCAGAAATTTTCATACAAATGGCACCGAGCGATTGTTCGATTATCATATAGATAGATTGCTCTATAGAAAACTTGGCTCTGTTCGTTCCATAAAAATAAAACGTGTGGAGTAAAGATCATAACGCTCAATCATATCACGCGTCGAAGTGATAGCACTACAATAACCTCAATCATGCCTGCTTAATGTTTTTTGTTTATATTTATATTTAATCTATACTAATATTATAAATGTGAAAGTTTGTGACTATGGCTGTATGGATGTTTATTACTCTTTCACGCCACAACGGCTGAACGAATCTGGATGAAATTTGGCACAGAGATAGATTATAGTCTGGAATAGCACATATACTTTGCCTGCCGGAAAACTGTACTTTAACTAAAGTAACTTTTTTTGTTTTCCTAGAGGCGAACACGAGTGAAGCGAGGGCGAGCCGCTAGTTTAGTCATAATTTACACGAATATAGTTATTATATACGAGTCAAATATATTGTTCTGGCCGAATTATCAATGGTCAAACTAAAGTCTAAGAGGATACAATTTTGATAACCTAAATAATGACCAAGTTAAAAAAAAGGATTTAAAAAAAACCTAAAAAGGCCAAAAGGGGTCGCAAACTAAATAATATCTTGGGCCAGTTAAAATAAAAACATAACATTATAATTAATTACAAAGTGTAAGTAATTACATATTTGATTGTTCTGAAATTAAAA